TGACCCTACTGTTGCTGCCAGTGGGTCTGACAATCACCTCGGTCAAGGCCAGGTTGAGTGAGAGGGACACCACTGTGAAGGGTGACAAGTGGCCAGGGGAGCCAGCATGCCAGGAAGTCAGGATGCTGACAAAATCTGTGTGTCAGGGATAGAGGGACAAAACCCTGCACCACAGAAGAGCTCTGCCTGACAGAGGCCTTGAGGCACCACTAGGAGTGGAATTCAGGGTAAGAGTCTGTGTAGGGGGTCAGAGGCTGGAGGCAGAGGAGACTGTTTTGTGACTCTGCTTTCTCTTCCCTTTTTGAGGAAGAGTGTCTTGGAAACAGCAGAAGGGAATCCACATTGGTAAAACTGCCCATTATCTCCATTCCTTTCCCATCTCCATCCTTCTGATCTGCTCCGCTGCTTTACCCTTCTCTAGAGCATCCGCCAGGTTTTCTGACCTCAAAGGTGACAAACAGCTAGTGTCTTTGCTGTTATGTTGAGACAGATGCCTGTAACCCAGGTTGGCCTTGATTTCCTTGTGTCCCTGCTGGGGATACAAGCTTTAGCCAGCATGCCATGTTTATGTGCTCTTGGAGATCAACCCCAGGACTTCATGCATGCTAGGCAAGCGCTGGCTCTACCAGTTGAACTACACCCGAAGACCTCACATCTAGGGTTGTGATAAGTTCACACTGGAACTGAGTGCCTGGAGCAGAGTGAGTCCAGAAGTGGACCGATTGTTCCAACATCCTGATCTCTGTCTTTTTCTCTGCAGGTCTTCCAGACTGGGTCTTCCTCTCAAGGGGCAACCCTAACTCCCCATTTCCGTACATCTCTAGCGAATGGCTAAGAAAAAGTGAAGAGCCAAGCTTAGATGCAGGCTCCGGACTGAGCACGAGAGAGACAAGCAGAAGAGGCTTCGTGTCCCGTTGGCCTGCTGCTGACGTCTGCAGCGAAACTAGGCAGCGGCCACACTGCTGTGGCAGAAGGCAGTCACCAACTAGGAAGGTCTCTAATTAGTCTTGTGGCCCCGCCCACTTTTTTCCTGGATTCAAGGCGATGTTGCCTCAAAACAAGGACCAGGTGCTGCTACCGAACACAGTGCCCCCAGGGTGTCCCCCTCAGGTCCTCTCACAGTTTGCTGACTCCCCTCCATCCAACTTAGCATCTCTCGCCCCCCATCAGTCCCTCCCTCCTCCTCACCTACCTTTGCCATCTCACAGGCCAGCCTATTTTTCCTTCTCTTCTCCGCCACAGCCCCACTCTCCTGGGCCTCACTGCTACTCTTCAGACCCAAATTCTGACTTTGCTCCCCTCCCATTCTCCTCCTCCCTCCCGAGTTCCCCCACTTTCTTTCACCAGAACTACCCTCATCCTCCTTCAAGACACTCATCCCCTCCCCTCGCCTCCCCTCCTCTTTCCCAGGTACAAAATTCCTCTCCTCCCTCTTGCCAGTCTCCTCCCCACCTCCAGGGCATCCATAGTTCCACGGCCACATCCCCCAGCCCCAACCCCCCTTCTGGAGGGATTTCCAGTAACAAACAAACACGGCAGTGTCCTCAATCCAAAAACACCAGGTCCCCTGGGGTGGCAGGGGGATGCAAGGTAAGCAAGGTGGACCCTGCAGAGTTCAAGGAACCAATGGCCCTCGCCCAAGCCCTAGCCGACCGTGTGGGGCGCCGCAGAATTGCAAGAGATCTCAAGCTACTGTTTTGGCAGCACCTGTGTCTCGGCACATCCACACCCAGCCAGGCCCCAGTCGTGGAGTACCCCATTTGTCTACAGTGCCTCCAGCCCCGCACCCAGTCTTGCCCCACCCCCAAGTACAAGACGGAAACAAGGCTGCTTGCCTTCCCTCAACTACTGCCCTGTGCTCAGGGCCAGGAGTCTGGGCCTCTCCGCATTGGTATTGGCTTCGGCCTCCGCTTGCCTCTGGGCCAGGCCAGAGCCTTGCATCTGCTACCACCAAAAAAACGGCAGGAAGCAAGTCCTCAAGGAGAGGTCGTCCTGAGGCAACCGCCTACAACCCAGACCCCAGAAGCTCAAGTTATGGACACACTCTCCCAGGCCGGGCCCCTCAAGTTTGCAGGCCTCCAATCACTAAAATCCAGCCAATGTTCCGTGCCTCCAGCTCAGGCACCAAGAAGGGTCACTGCCTCCCCAAGGCCCAGATTGTCTACAGCCCCAAAGAGGTCTGTGCCTCCAGAATCTATTCTCCAAAAGTTACCATCTTAATTCCAGAGCAGCGGAGACCCTATGGAACACCCTCTCCAAACCCCACCCTCCCTACCAGGACTTCTCAGACCTTAGGAAGCCACAGCAACACCTTGAAGGGCTGGCTGGCCGGAGGCCAAGTGTGTTCTCCTGCCCTGAACCCTGGAAACCCCTTGTGGAGTCTGCTCTCCCCTGGTTGAAGACCAGAAGCACCCAAGGCCCCATTCAGCCTTCACTGTATCCAATAAAGTCTAACCCTGGGACTTGTGTCTGTGTCCTACTGTGCCCACAGGGTGGATTCAAGGGCTGTAGGATAAGGTCCCTCAACAAGGTTGGAGGGAAAGGAAGGTCAAGGACAGAAAGTGCCACACAACCCGGTATCTGAGCTGCTTAGAGACCTCTGCATGGCCCTTTTCTGGTTTAATTCTAGTCTGTGGACACATAATTGGAATTAAAGAAGAGGTCACTGGGCCCATTTCTCAGGGTATGCCTGGGTGGACACACAGCAGCCCATTTTCCTCATTGGGAAAGACGTGGCGAACAACTCATTCACAGGCAAACAAAGAAATCCCATGTACAGACCAGAAGGCTCCAGGACTGGAGAGATGGCTGAGTGGTTCGCTAGCTGCTGCTCCTGCGGGTTCAGGTTCAATTCTCAGCACCCATATGGCAGCTCACAACTGCAACC